AACAAAAATCAAAACTGATTGGATGTCAAGCATGACTCATATGTTGTCATATAAAAACCACTCAAAACTTTCTCCTATTTCTTTAAGTCAAACCGCAACAGCTTTCACAGTGAAATTAGTGATTAGCTGAATTAAAGTTCAAGTTTTGCTTTGCTTGGAAATTTTTGTTCTAGTTCCTTCTTATCATAAAGTAGGTACTAATTTTTGCTGTAAAAATTAATGAGAGAGGGGTGCCTGGCTGGCTCAGTCCACAGAGCATGCAACTCTTGATCCTGGAGTCATGAGTTCGAGCCTCACACTGGGTGTAGAGATTACTAAAAAAAATTACATAAACTTAAAAAAAATAAAGTAACGGATTTTCTTTAAAAAAAATTTATGAGACAGGGGCGCCTGGGTGGCTCAGATGGTTGAGCGTCTGCCTCCGGCTCAGGTCATGATCTCTAGGTCCTGGGACGGAGTCCCACGTCGGGTTCCCAGCTCAGAGGGGAGTCAGCTTCTCCCTCTCCCACTGCCTCTCCCCCTGCTCATGCTCTCTGTCTGTATCTCTCTGTCTCAAATGAATAAATAAAAAAAAAAATCTTTAAAAAAAATTTATGAGACAGGTTTATAAAGAATGTTTTTCATATTTTTCTATGTGTAATCACATAGAAATAATGTATAATCAGTGTTCAATATCACAAAAATTCTTTCCAAACTTTTGTGCATATGTTTAGGTACTTTCCTTCTGTAAATTCACAGCTTTCAGAGTCTCAAAGAGGTCTATGAATCAAAAACCTGGAAAAAACTCACTCCTCTGATTTAGATATTGACCTCACATAACACACATAATCATCTCTTAACAGTTCAAGAATTATATGGAAGAAAATCAAAACACCACACTTAGAAGAAAATATTTAGCGCATTTCAGGCTGAGAAAAAGCCTTCTGACCAAAAAGGCAAAAGAGAAACTGATTTCAGCAAGAAAACACAAACTTCAGTAAATATACGTAAAAAGTCATGAACATTTTCAAAAGAGAAAATACAAATGGAATAGAAAACATTTAAAATTAATTTCTTTAATAATCATAAAAAGTCAAGTTAAAATGAGATGATTTTGCCTATGATATTAACAAAGAAGTTTTTAAAAGCTATATAAGGAAAATTTGTGGAGGAGATGAGAATTCTCATATACCAGTGGAATAAGAGTACATTGGTACTTTTTTGGAACACAATGTTATAATGTCTGTCAAATGCTTTCAAAATGGTCATCTCTAAGTACTGTATAATATCTCGTATATGTGGATTCTAAAAAACAGAGGGGAGGGGGAACTGAACTCCTAGAAACAGAGTAGAATGGTGGTTGCCAGGGCCTGGAGGGTAGGGGAAATGGGGAGATGTTGGTCAAAGGGTACAGATTTTCATTTATAAGATGAGTAAGTTCTGGGGATCTAATGTACGGCATGATGTCTGTAGTTAACAATACTGTATTATATAATTGGAAGTTATTAAGAGAGTAGATCTTAAATGTTCTCCCCACACACATAAAAATAATAACTATGAGAGGTGATAAATGTGCTAACTAAGCTTATTGTGGGGATCACTTCCCAGTATATATGTGTATCAAATGATTATGATGTACACCTTAAATTTACAAAATGTTTTATGTCATTTATATCTCAGTAAAGCTGGAAAAATGAAATTAAACTATATCATTCTTCCTCACATTATGAATTCACCAGTCATAAGGCAGTCAGAGGAGAGAAAGGTGTGAGACGATGTTTAACTGGACTACAGAACACAACCCACCCAACATGTCCCTGGAATATACATCTCTGGTTGCTACTTGTTGCCTCACCATTGAATGATGAAATATATAGATATTTTAACAAAATCAAACTCAGATTTAACTTGATACCTATTTTCTTCACTCTCCAAAATTAGGCAAACTTTTTCAAGGTCTGTGTTCCACAGCAACACAAGAAAAAAAACTAAAAATGTATGCAATAAAACTGAGTGACATTAAAAAAAAATAATACGTAGAAGTCATTCTCTAGTTTAATAATTTAATTTTCAGTAATTTCTACCTAATGGGAAAAATCCAAAATATAGACAGAGATTTTATGAAGAAACTGTTTACCCCACTGTTAATGATAAAAAAGTAAAAATCAATCTATATTAAGGGAATGATTAAGTATATCAAGGCATATGACAGAATATGCAGTCACTGAAATAATGTTTGCAATGAGTTTCTTGAATGACATGATCAAAAGTGATGATGTGTTAAGTGAGGGAAAAAAGAGGTCGTAAAAAAATTCTAAGAAGAAAAATTTTAAGGAAATACGACACATTTATGGTAGCTGTTTCCAGGTAACATTTGAGTGATTATTTTTATTTTATTGCCTGTACTTCGCAAATTATCTACAATGAGTATATATTACTGACACTCAGGGAAGTTAAATAAAAACAGAGTAACCACAGAACACAGATCACAAGTAGGGGCAGAAATATTTTAAAGAAAAAAATGTCATCTTGTACGAACGAGCAAATAATGAGTATAAATTTTCAAAACAACTAATGAGAGAAAAACTGTTGTTGTTTACTTCTTGGCTTAGCTGTTCGATGACGTGGATATGGTTGAGTTCTCTTTAAATGGCAAATCATAAACTGGTCATCCAATCCAAACTGAAAAACCAACTTCTCAGGTAAGAATAGGAGACAATTTGGGGCTGGTTAGGATTTTTCCCCCTAACAGTATGATTTATAAGAAGGACTGAAATAATAGTTGGAAAATAGGAAAAGGTAAAGGAAGAGCTTCCTGATGCTTTAAATTTTGCTTTTCGAGAAAAGATCTTTTAAATTTGATAAATTCTCTAAAGAAAACTTGGGAACTCTGAGTTGCAAAATAATTGAAAGAAAAAGGTTACAAAGCTAGTCAAATCAGGAGATGACGACCTTCTCTGTCTCACCTCCTGGATGAGATTCATTACAAAGGAACCAATAGACTCCAAGCTTGTCAGAGGCTGAACAGCCTTGCTGAATGCTTCTTTCATCCATTCCTAAGCTCATAGGAAATTTTAAACTTTAGCATTAAAACTTTAATACCTGTCAAACTTCCTCTGCATAAAACAATCTTATGTCAAACCCTACTATTTATTTTTATTTTTATTTTTAAGTATGCTCCCTGGCCAGTGTGGAGCCCAGTGAAGGGCTTGAACTCATGACCCTGAGATCAAGACCTGAGCTGAGGTGAAGAGTCAGACACTTAACCATCTGAGCCACCCAGGCACCCCAAACCCTACTATTTTTAATACAGAATATTGCTTACATAAAAATTGATAATATAAAGATTAGAGGTAACCAGTATATCTAGCACTTGGGATTGGTTAAATTATGGTAGATACAGACTATGCACTGTGGATTATAAACCTAAATGTACACAGACCAGGTAGCTAACATAAATGAATGAAGTGGGCCTGGGCTGGGATTTGGGAGCAGTGGAGACTGGTGATTTGAAAAGGGAATACTTTATCTAAAGAAGACAGCAACAACTTGATTCCTGTTAGGTGGCTTTGTGGAAAGGTGGGCCCCCGTGTTGCCAGAATCTCCTACTTTTAAAAAAATTTTATTTGGAAATAATATCAAATTTAAAGAAAGTTGCAAAAATAAGAAATAGTAAAAGAACACCTATGCCCTTTACCCAGATTATCTTACTGTTAATATTTGACTTGGTATGTATTCTTTCTCTCTGCACACACACACACACACATTGTGTGTATGTTTGAAATATAAATTGAAATACATAGACACAATTTTTTCTGAACTATTGGAGGATATGTTAACATTTTATCATGACCCTTTACTCCTACTCCACTGCATATTTCCTAAGAATAGAAACCCTACTATTTTTGAGATGGGGCATCTGGAGTGATGAAGAGAGCTTGAGGAGGTTGTCTCCTCCCGGCCACTAGGGACTAGACAATCAGCCACTTTTTCTCCCTCTGTAACACCAAACCAAGGTTAAGTACTATTGCAGTAGACAACTGCCATTCTATCAGTAAAAACAAAACCTCCAAATATATGTACATTTATTTATAAATTGGATATATGTACTAATCTTCTAAAACATTATGTACCTTATAAAACATATTGTTAAACAAAGATAAAATAAACTTAAATACAAATACAAGTTTATAGTGTTCTTCCTGCACCCTTGAAGATGTGTACCTCCCCACCACCCTTGAAGATGTGTACCTCCCCACCACCCTTGAAGATGTGTACCTCCCCACCTTGGGTGCCATTCTTCTATACCGTGGTAGCTAAACAGGAAAAGGACTGCCACCGTACCCAAAGCTGAGTCTGGGTTCTGCTCCCCAGTGTACCTCTCTTATGTCTGCCGGCTCTCTCTATCACAATACGCTGTTTTATTGCCTTCATAGTGTTTATTGCTCCTGGAAGTCATCTTGCTTATTTATGTGTTTACTTGTTTATTTCTTCTCCCTGCCCCCTGCCCCCCAACTCTTCTCTACTAGAATATATGCTCCATGAAAGCCAGGATCTCCCTGTCTTGTTCATTCCTAATCCTTCCACCCCTAAAAAGGGGGTGGTTCATAATGGGTGCTCATTAGATACTCCCTGGCTCACATTCTAGCTCTATCCCCTGCGTGGTCCTCCATTCTCCTAGCAGACGAGAGGACAGGTCCCCTAACCCCCTGCAGGAAGCAAACAATACGCTATCCTACCCCTTTGAGAAGCTTCTCTGCTTAAAAAACACCTGTAGAGGGTGAGCAGCGGAAGACAATCTTCCTCTTCACGTAAAACCCAGGGCGACAATCTCAAATCTGGAACTTAAAAAATACATATAATTACAGTATTTCTAAACACATTTCTCTTTTTTAAAAAAAAAAAATTAATTGTAAGTCGAATTATCATTTTCACACAAAAGCTATCATTTTCCCTCAATCCCTTCAGGCTGTTCTTGCAGTTTCTGCCCTGGGAAGATAAAAAGGAAGACAAGCAGGTACCTGATGGTTTTCCACACATCGAAGCCGTCCAGAGGCTTGGTGCCATTTGTGCTGCCCCTGGCCAGCTTCACAAGTGTCGGCAGCCAGTCAGAAATGTGGATGAGCTCCCGGTTCTTCACACCCTTCTGTTTCAGCAAGGGGCTTGCCACAAAGCCCACCCCTCGAATGCCTCCTTCCCACAGGCTCCATTTTCTTCCTCGAAGGGGCCAGTTATTGCCCCCTGCCAAAGTCTGTCCTCCATTATCTGAAACACAAGTAGGTTTTTGCATGAGGACAATGCTAGACACATTTAAGAACAGACAACTTCTACGTTGCTTTTAAATGGGGCTTAAGAACTAAGAAAGATGCCCCCTCCTTACTGCCTTCGGTACCAACCTCCCCTCTTCCGCCCAACATTCCCTCCATTACACAGACATAATCAGAGTGTAGCGTGGCACCAATCTGACACAAGACCTTCAAATCCCCTTGGATAGGGTCGCTGAAAAACAAGCAAGTCCCCGGAGGGTAACTGCTTGCGATAGAGCCCTGTACTAATAATAATCAATGACTAGGTGGCAAATGCATGTGTGCAATTTTGTGTGACACAGGAGAAAGAATCCAGGTACGCTGAGCCCCTTCCCGTCCACAAAAAGAAACCTCAAGTGACATTTCACTCAGTAAGTTAAAGCTCCTGATAAGTTGGAGACCTTTTCATTTTACTCACCTGGAAAAACTTTCTAACATTTACACTGGTAACTAAATTAATCTTCTACTCCCTGGTGATGTGAACCCTTTCTTAGGTGTGAAAGTTGAAGATATCTCCAGTGGGCTAACTGTCTCTTGTAAACACAGCAGTCGAGTAGAAAAAATAATTGCAAGAAAAATTCCTCCCTTCTTGACAGGATGGCAAGACAAAGCTTCAACTGATGCACTGTGCCAGGGAAAAGAAAGCTTCTCTTCCAAGACAACTGAAGTTGAAGCCAGAGGAGAAGTTACAAGAGTGACTGAAATTAAGTATCTTACCAGCTGGGTGGGACTCAGTTAGAAATTAAGTTGGACAGTAGGGGAAAAAAAAAAAAGTGGTATTTCTTGTACACTGAGGTTGTAGAATCATTGGCATCTCCAAAAGTACCCATACACTCAGGGGACTCCACAGACACTTTTGAAATAACCCTTATTTGCATACATATTACCCCTCAATTAAATCTTTTTTTCAAACCACTGTTATCCAAATGAACCACAGGAGGGCAGTAGGACAGACCTAATGTCTGTAGAATGTTGTACGTAAAAATCCAACGCAGAAATCAAGACTAAAGCCACAGGAAACACATGGAACGAAAAAGAACGGGTATTTGTTAAGCACCTACTATGCACCAGGCACCACTTTAAGTTTACAGTATCTCTCCCAGAATGTGAAGTCTGAGAGACCTGGAATTGAAGCCTGATGCCAACCGCGCACTAGCCGTGTGACCCAGGGCAACACGATACCTCAGTTTATGTTCAATGTGGAGAGAAGAATTCCTAGCTCAGGTATTATGATGAAAATGAAATGACACTGTTTATGATCATTGCTTGGCTGGGTACCTGGCATAACCTCAGTGCTCAATAAATGGTAGCTAATATCTATAACTCAGTCTAGTATCATAACCGTTTCATTTTTCGGAAAAAAAAAAAGAAGAAAAAGAAGTTTGAAAAGTCCAAATAGCTAATAAGTGGCAAAGCTAGGATTCGAACAAGGTCTGCGTGACTCCCCAGGTGCCTTCTGTCCCCAGAGTGCCGTGTTCCTGATGTCCCCCGTATGCAGTGGGTTTTATACCTACAGGCCACATGACGGTTCCCTGCCCCATGAAAACCATAAGCACAGTCTCAGCAAAGTGTATACTCTTCCTTTTGATATAGCAGAAGGTGATGATATCTCCCTTTCGAGGAACCTTTGTTGCTGGTGGGTGAGAAATTCAAGGCTCTACCGCCAAGGAGGCTTCTGTTCAAATCCTTAGCACACGAGGTGCCTGGTTCTTCTCTGTGCTTCATGAAGGGAGGGAGAAGAGTGGAGCTAGGTTACATGAAAGTGACAGTTCCTCAACACATGGGTTGGGGATGATCTGTCTCATCATTTGCCATCACAGACTTACAAGAACCTTTCCTTAAACCCTACATCTCTTCTTGACCAAAAGTCAAGGACCAAACAGTCACCCAAGTCAGCTTATTAAATACACTTTCTACTTTACAAGAACAAACCTGTATATTCAAAACAAGAGGCCACCATCCTTTTGACAGTGGGGATTCCTCCCTCTGTATACTTCACAGAGTATCAGTCACCCACAGCCAACATTTCAAAACTTAAAAGGAGGGGCGCCTGGGTGGCTCAGTTGGTTAAGCGACTGCCTTCAGCTGAGGTCATGATCCTGGAGTCCCGGGATCGAGTCCCGCATCGGGCTCCCTGCTCAGCGGGGAGTCTGCTTCTCCCTCTGACCCTCTTCCCTCTCGTGCTCTCTATCTCTCATTCTCTCTCTCAAATAAATAAATAAAATCTTTAAAAAAAAAAACAAGGCCTTAAAAAAAAAAAACAAACTTAAAAGGAGGTGCTGTTCATATTACACAAAAGGACACTGGAAAGAGAGGTTTACACTCTGCCTGTGAGGTCAAGAATGGCTAGGTCAGCACACTATTATTTTGCTCTATTATCTAGACTGCTATAAACGATACTGGCTCAGGGCTTGTAGAAGAAGCCTGTTGTCTCCATTTTAAATCGATGCACTCCTTTGAGATAGTCTATAATAGTCTCTTTCAGTTCCACGTACTTGCTAGCGCTCAGTACAAAAATACTAAACGTTGGTGGTGGAGGCAATGTGTGGGGAGATGAGGAGGAGGGTGGCCGGGTCTGCTATCTGACTCTTGGAGCAGCCCTTCAGGTATGACTCAAAAAGGAAAATACGCTGTGCGGGAAGGAGAATGTGGCCACTGTGGCTACCGTCAGAGCCGGAAGGTGCTTCCGCATCTTATGAGGGGAGGGCGCCGATGCAGTGAGCAGGACTGTTTTCACCACTAGCTCACTGGGCTGTGTTTCCCATTAGCAATGAGAAGGGATTCTGTCCTCTGTTATCAGTCACATTTTCCAGAGCACTCTGGAGAGAAAGCACCGTCAACGAGCACACCGTGACTTCTTCTCTCGGACTCCTCTGTCACAGAGTCGATGCACAACCGGCGGCACGAAGAGGGCAATTTGGCTTTGCCAGGGGTCTGCATCTCCACAGGTGGCCCCCGCCTGAGGGCTGCCACTGAGCAGCAGCGCCGCAGAACCCATAGTTGGGCTCTCCAGAAATAGGGTGCTGTGCATCAGTTCCGGCACAGTCTCCTGGGTATTTCAAGAAGTTGGACATAAAACTGATCACAGTTGCAGTAAGAATACAACAAGCTCATTTGGAATAAGGTTTCCTATATTATTCCCTTAAACCCGACAAACGAAAATTTAAAAAGACAATGGAACTATCACATTTCTTTTCACTCTCTCTCCTAGTTTTCTTTTGGGCAAAAGTTAACTTTTGTTCTTGCTAAGAATTAATTTTCAAGAGAAAATTTTCCTGTTTCATTTCCTGACTGACTTATTTATGAAAAAACTTCCAAATCAAAATAAGATGACTCCAACTAGTAAAGGAAACTCTGAAATTTTTTTTTTTTTTTTTTTAGGGAAATAGTTTTGCAGCAATGTTTCTGGCAGAGGGAAAACCTAATTATAAACACTTTGCCGTCTAGAAAAGAGATGTCAAAATAAAACAAATGTTGTCATATACAGATGGTGAATCTCACTTTATCATTCCCTCCTGAACAAAAATAACTGTCAAAAAGTCATGGAAAAACATTGGTTAGCCAATGATCTAAGCAAATGCATTAAGTGTATGACAAGGAAGCCTCATCTTCATCCAACTGATAAAAGTTCAGATGGAACCATGACAAGAACTTTCATTTTTAGGACTACTCCCAACAGGGTAAGGCTGTGGCTTGGCCGTGGGAGGCTGCCCTGAACATCAGTGTGTATTTCTATCTCATTGCTCCCTCACCCGGGCTTACCCGAGACATCCTCCTCACTCTGACCCAGGGATCCTGAAAGAAAAAGCAAGAAAGGCTCCAAGGGCCTTGCACCAGTGCCCGGACTTGGCTCTGAATAGGGCCAGCAACGTAAGTGTGACAGATGAATAGACAACATGACTTCAAACACCAAGATGCCACCTTCTCTAAAAAAGACGACCCGCTTGCTGATGGTTGATTCTTTTAGACTAGTTGTTTTTTTTTTTTTTAATTTTTAACTAAAAGGCAAATTGGTTAATATGTGTCTTAGAAGTCACCTAGAGGATTTGGTAAATTCAATCTTCTCCTACTAAAAGATCTTGGAGAAAATATCTACCTGGACACTAATTTACAATCAAACGTTCTTCTCTTTCCTTCTTGTGCTACAATTTTTTTTTTTAAGATTTTATTTATTTGAGAGAGAAAGACACAGCGAGAGAGGGAACACAAGCAGGGGGAGTGGGAGGGGGAGAAGCAGGCTCTCCGCTGAGCAGGGAGCCCAATGCGGGGCTTGATCCCAAGACCCTGGGATCATGACCTGAGCTGAAGGCAGACACTTAACGACTAAGCCACCCAGGCGCCCCAACTACATTCAGTTTCTGATTGAATGTGCATTCCCTTCTGCTGAGTCTAACTTTCAAGTGGATTTCAAGCCCATCCACCCCCATCTACCCCAGTGCCTTGGGTCTGGCACTCTTCCCACTTGGACACATGGTAACCTACAGATTGCTTCACTTGGCTGTCAGAGGCATCCCTGTGAAGCCCCCAAACCAATCAAGTCTTGTTCGTGCTTAAAGATCTCTAATTGCTTTCTAATCAGGAAAAACTTTAAACTTCAGCCCACATAGAGAATCCATTACATCTGGCCCCAACCTACTTATTGGGCATCAACACCTGCCCTCCTCCATACAAAGTGCCTTGTGCTGGGCCACCTGGCTGGCTCAGTCAGTAGAGAGTGTGACTCTTGATCTCGGGGTTGTGGGTTCAGGCCCCACGTTGGGTGTAGAGGGTACTTAAAAATAAAATCTTAAAAAAAAAAAGTGCTCAGTGCTTCATTCATGTAGAACTAACTTCGCCTTGTCGTTCGGATACGTCATGCCGTTTCATGCTGACTTTGCCTTTGTACATGTTGGTTTCTCTGCCTAAAATACTCTCCCTCTTCTTTTCTGCCCGACTTAAATTTTAACTCTCAGGATAAAT